TTTCATTATGCTTCAATTAGCAGCGCCGGAGGCCCCCAAGGTCTCCCAGCTGGGGTGGGAGTCAAAGCCGCTGGGAGTTCTGAGCTTGTTAGGGAAAGGAAACACACCCGTGGAATTCAGAGCTTCCCCGCCCCCCTCTCTTTTTAAGAGAATAAATTGTCACCCTCCTACTCAACCTGGCTGTTCGCTCCCCTGGCCCCCGTCCAGCCGCCCACGGATGCGCCGCCCTGCCGCCTCCTGCCCAGATCGGCCTTGGGACCCAGCCAGGCGGGGGTGGGGAGGCGCGGGGGACACGTTTGTCCACCCAGCCCCCACACTGGGCCACGGACGCTCCAGGGGGCCGAAAGCAAGTGTCTCACGGTCCCAGGCAGGTGGCTGCGGGGAGCCGCACTTGCCAGACCGGCCTCCTTCACGGTGAGCCCTGGCTCTGGAAGCAGAACTGGCAGTGTCTCGGGTCTGTCCTGCCCGAGCTTTGCTGTCCCTTCTTTGGGCCACTCTTCAGGCCACCTGATACAGAGGAGGAAGCACCGGACGGACACTTTCTTAACACGGCTAATGACAGTGGCCATTCATTGGGTGCCTCGTAAGTGACTGCCGAGACCAACCTAGCAGGTTTCAGTGTCATCCCCGTTTTACAGATGAGGAAACTGAGGCGCAGAGAGGTTAATTCATTTGCTCCCTTGCTTACCAAGTGGCGGTGCCAAGGTCGAGACTTAGATCTGAAGGACTTGGAAACTCCTAAACAGTCTGGCGCTTCCAGAAAACATCTTTTTTTTTTTTTTTCTGATGTTTGTTTTCTCATTTGTAAAATATATATAAACACCAAATTTAACAATTAATTAATTAAGCAAACGAGTCAGCATTTCCTGAGTGCCTATTTGGCTTAAGGCGCATGCCCTCAGATTGCCCACAGTCTAGAAGGAGGAACACAACGTGGCAAAGAGTCACCACAGGCCAAATGTTCTAGAAGTGTGCACAGAGTGCTGTGACCATAGAGGAGTGGGAATGGAACTGAGTGCCCAAGGAACACTCTAGGATCAGGGCTACTCTAGCAGGTGGGGACACAGTTGCCTGGGCTGTGCTCCAGCTTCAGAGCTTGGACTCTGGAGTCAGATGGCCCTAGTAGGAAACTCAGCACACTTTGTGCCTCAGTTTTCTCATCTGTACAATGGGCATGATCAGAGTGCTTACTTCACGGGGAAGCCAGTGCCCGGCTCACAGGTTGGCATTCCAGTAAACACTAGACATTATTGCAGCAGAAACAGAAATGGGGCCTGCGACATTCCCGGAGCTGAGAGTGCAATGGCAGGTTCTTGGAGGGGAGAGGAAAAGGCTACAGACCTTCACTCATTCCCCGTCTGCACCCCCGAGGCCCTGCAGAAGCATGTCCTGAGCTTCAAAACATTTTGCTATACTTTCCTTTGTTACAGACAGTTCTTGGACTCAGGAGCCAAAGACAGGAAACTTTTTGATAGTTGAAGAAGAATAATATGAAATATTTAAGTAGCTCTTACTAAGTGCCAGGCACCATTCTGAGCACGTTACACTCAGCCCAGTTAAGCAATAGGTTCAAAGGCAATAGGTTCAGAGAAAAGGTTTTGGGGAAAGGATCTAGTCTGGCTAAATCTTCCCAAGTCTCTCAGAGGTTGTCTAAAGGTTTTTGTTTTTGCCTTTTTCCCTCCACAGCAAACCTAGAGGGTGTGGTTGAGTTGCACTATTTGCATGTATGTTTGTGTGTTCACGAGGTGAGTAATGAAAGTCCCAGAGTGAGGCTGGCATGGTGGCTCATGCCTGTAATCCTAGCACTCTGGGAGGCTGAGGTGGGCGGATCGCCTGGGCTCAGGAGTTCGAGACCAGCCTGAGCAAGAGCGAGACCAGCCTGGCACCCTGGTGCGCACCTGTAGTCCCAGCTACTTGAGAGGCTGAGGCATGGGATTGCTTGAGCTCAGGAGTTTGAGGTTATAGTGAGATATGATAATGCCACTGCACTCTAGCCTGGGTGACAAAGCCAAACTTTGTCTCAAAAAAAAAAGAGTAAGTTCCAGAGTGGTGGGATGAATGAATGGCTTGTTTTGCTTTGCACTTAAAGGCTGGGGGTATCCAGAAGAAGAAAAACTAGGTCTATCCTTAATAAGGAGGGCTTTTGGGGGTATACCCACCCTCATGGTCTGCAAGGGCCCATGGAGACCCCCAAATCCTCCTTTGGGGAGGCACACATCAACTTGCATGCTCCTGCTCACACTCACACTCACTGACACTCACACATTCTCTCTGGGCTGAATCACTTTCCTCTGCAAGGTCTTCTCAGGCTAGCACTGGGCTTTCTGCCTGGCTGGCAGCAGGAGCAGAAGAACTACCACTTGGACCAGTGATGACCTTGGCCAGCCCCTTTGGCCTCTGCAGCCTCAGTTTCACAGCTGTGATATGGAAGGGTTGGGCTGCGGGGATTCCTAGGACCCTTCCTTCCAATCTCAAACTCTGAAGCTCTCCAAGGTTGCTAGGACTGACATAATCTCAGTTCCCTTATCCACAGAGTAGGGGTGAAGCTTGGGGACAGATGTCTGGAAGTTCCTTTCCATAATGAAGTCTTTTCATCACAACAGAAAACTATGTCTCCTGTTTAGTTCTGGCAGAACATCAACCACCGCAGTGACAGACGTGGTAACAGGAATAACCATCAATTTTCAAGTGCTTACTTGTGCTAAGTATCTCACCTGAACGAGCCCATTGAAGATCCCCCAAAACCTCATTAACCCCACTTTCTAAGTGTGGAAACTTGAGGTTCAGGGAGGCCCCATGGACACAAGCTAGTGAGAAAGAGGAAACTCCCCTAATTGCTCCCACGCTCAAACTCAGTCTCGACCCCTTCCCACTTTTGCTGGGCAGAAAGGCAAGATCTTGGGATATACAAAGCAGTCTTCAAGGATATTTTTCCAACTTCTCTCCTACTTGCCCATTGTACTAGGGAGGAAACTGAGGCCCAAGAGCAAGAATGCAAAGACACTGTTTTTTTGAGACAGAGTCTCACTCTGTTGCCCAGGCCAGAGTGCCGTGGTGTCAGCCTAGCTCACAGCAACCTCAAACTCATGGGCTCAAGGGATCCTTCTGCCTCAGGCTCCTGAGTAGCTGGGACTACAGGCATGCGCCACCATGCCCGGCTAATTTTTTCTGTATATATTTTCAGTTGGTCAATTAATTTCTTTCTATTTATAGTAGAGACGGGGGTCTCGCTCTTGCTCAGGCTGGTTTCGAACTCCTGACCTTAAGCGATCCACCTGCCTCGGCCTCCCTGAGTGCTAGGATTACAGGCGTGAGCCACCATGCCTGGCCCAAAGACACTGTTACTAGACTGAATGTTTGTGTCCACCTCCCTCCAACTCATCTGGTGAAGCCCTAACTCCCAATGTGACAGTATTGGAAGGTGGAACCTTTGGGAGGTAATTAGGTTTAGATGAGGCTCTATGGTCATGATAGGCTTAGTGTCCTTATAAAAGGAAGAACCGGAGTGCTCTTGTGCTGTCTCTCTCTCTCTCTCTCTCTCTCTGTCTCTTTCTCTCCCCGTCTCTCTCTCCCCCCGCCCCACCTCTCTCTGCCATGTGAAGACACAGCAAAGAGGTGGCCATCTGCAAGTCAGAAAGTGAGCCTTCACCAGGAACCAAATCTGCCCGCACCTTGATCTTGGACTTCCCAGCCTCCAGAACCATGGGAAATAAATGTCTGTTGTTTACGCTGCCCAGTCTGTGATATTCTGCTATGGCAGCTCAGACAGTTTATGACAGAACAGAAGCCCCCGCTAGCTGCCCGTGAACTGAGACTGCCCTTCTCATCCCTGCTGCTAGGGTTGCCAGATTAAAACAAACAAACGAACAAAAAATCCAAAAGATACCTCGTTAGATTTGATTTTCAGATAAACAATAAACACTTTTTAGTATAAGTATGTTTCATGCGATATTTGGGATATACTTGTACTTAAAAAGGATTTGTTGGTATTTATTTATTGGCGTCTTCTCTCACAACCCTATCACCCCACTGTTTCAACTCAACTTAATGCTATCATAGCCCAGGAACTTGGTCTCAGGAAAATCTCCATTTAGGTATTTCATTATTAGATTTACTTTAATGAAGTTGAAAAAAAATCAGTATCTCTACCATAGGGTTACTGTGAGGATTAAATACATCCATATATACAAAGTATTTAGAATTGTGCCTGGCACATAGGAAGGTCTCTGTAAGTCTTAATTGTTGTTATCGGTATTATTAATATTGTGTTTTCAAAACGATGTCTGGAAAGAACCCAATAGAGGTGACGGGCAGGAGCCTTAGCCCCCAGGAGGTTGTGGGGGTCAGGACTCTTCCCCCCAGGGTCAGTACTCCGGCCTCCTGTTGCAAAGCGGAAGAAATTGAGTTCATCTGAAGCCCGTTGTCCTCTATGTGGGACACTGGGAGGCCACATGGCCAAGGCTGAGAGCTCTCAATCCCTGGGACACCCTGCAAAACCCACAGGGCTGCGTGTCACAGGGCCAGGCCTCCAGGGACACTTTGTCCTTCCTGCCTGCCCAACCTGTGGTGGCACAGCAGAAGGTCTGGCGGGAGGGGGTCCCAGATGCCAAACTCCTAACAAAAATGCCATTTTCAGACCTTCCCCATAGTGCCCAGCACTGTGCTAAGCACTTTCTCCATGGCATCTCATCTCCCTTGCACAGTGGCCCCAAGAAGGTGCCATGTGACCCCCCACTTCCCAGAAGAAGCTGAGGCACAGAGAGACTAAGAAACTTGTCCCAGTTCGCACAGCTCATAAACTGCAAAACTGGGATTTGAACCCAGGACTTTTTGGGTCTGGGCCTAGGAGAGTGCCCAGGACATAGCAGATTGGGGGGAAGCTGGCAGGAGGCTCAGGTCCAGCCCCCGAACCCCCAACTGAGGCAGCCAGGCCTCACCGATGGGACATGTCCCTGGTGTGTCCCCTCTCCACCCGCTCCCGGCCTGGCCCCCGCGCTCACCTGGGCTGAGGCTGATGTCTGTCTGTGGGAAGGCCTGGACAGAGAGGAGGGTCAGGGCGGCCGTGGCCCACAGCCCCCACCTTGGCATCCTGAGTCCCCAGAAAGCTACCTCCTGGCCCGAGTGGAGGAGAGAGGCTTTTTGGTGGGAGCTTGGGTCCAGGATCGCTCTCTGAGGCTCAGGCGGGGCCTGCCAGGGGCTGGGGACGGCTGGGTGGACACCAGTCCCCTCCTCCTTCCCCCCTTTTCTCCTCCCTCCTCTTCACACTGCTGGAGACAGCTCAGAGTGACAGCTGAAAGCAGAGGGGCACTAGGCCGGGCCCTGTCGGACACCAAGAGACATTTCAGTTCCCGGCCCTGCCTCTGAGCCACAGTGTGGCCTTGGGCATGTGCGCCTCTGAGACTCAGTTTCCCAGTTTCCTCCTCTGTAAGATGGGATAATAACAAAGGTTACATTATTTGTAATGTTTACATTACATACAAATGGCACACATTTATTGTATATTTATAAGTCAGGGGCAGGTACTACAACTCACTGTACTAATATAGTGTGTCTATTATAAAACACATCTTTCAAAATTGACATTGTTGGAGGCTGGTTCAAAGTATAAATAGAGAGGAGAGTCTGGATATTTTCTTCCTCTTCTTTATCACGTGCGAGCTGGACTTTGTTCCTGGGGGCTGCGGGAAATCAGGTGTGTCGGCCTTAGCGTGTTTTGTGCTGCTAGGCCAGAGTGCCTGAGGCTGCGTCATTCACAGTGAACAGAATTCATTGGCGCTCAGTTCTGGAGACGGGAAAGTCCAATATCAAGCTACTGGCATCCGACATGGGCCTTCTTGCTAAGTCATCACATGGTGGTGGAGGTTGGGGCGGGGGAGAGAGAGAGAGAGAGAGAGAGAGAGAGAGAGAGAATATGACAGTGCATGCAAGAGGGGGTGAAGCTGCTCCCACAGTAACTAACCCACTCTCATGACAACAGCACTAAGCAATTCGCTGAGGCAGAGCTCTCACGGCCTAAACACCTCTTAATGATCCCACCTCCCAAAACCAACACAATGAAAATGAAATTCCAACATGCGTTTGGAGGGGACAAATGTTCAAATCATAGCAATGTCCCTCTGAGTGTGGACATAACAGATGGGGAGAATGAAGGCAGTCCAAAGCAGGCCACTGGAAATCCTTTTGAAAATTAGAGAATCCTTTCCTTCGGCAAATAAACCTCTTAAATTATCTGTGTTGTCATGCAATGTCTCAAGGTTTTTGTAAATTAATTCATGTCCTCTCTCTGCATGAAAACACAAGAGACATATGTTGCTTGCTCAAACCCAGGTATGGTCTGTGGACCAGCAGCATCAGTACTTCCTGGGAGCTCACCAGAAATGCAAATCCTCGGGCCCCACCCAGACCTGCTGAATCAGGAACTGCATCTCTACTAAATCCCCAGGTGGGTTGTGTGCACATTAAAGTCTATGGAACTGCTCTAGACAGGGGTAGGGAAACTTTTTCTATGAAGAGTCAGACAATAACTACTTCAGGTTTTGCAGGCCATACAGTCTCTGTCACAGCAATTCAATTCTGCCAGAAACACAGGAATGCAGTTGTCAGTGTGCCAATAAAACTTTATTTACAAAAATAGGCAGGGGGGCCAGATTTGGCCCATGGGCCATAGTTTGCCAACTCCTGCTCTAGACCTCAAGCTTACTGGCTGCAGAGTAGACAATTTCTTTGCTCAACAAATATTCTCTTTGCTGTTGTTTGGAGGTTGTAGAGGTCTCTTTGAAACACAATATATATATCTTCTGGTTTCTTAAACTTGTACTTACTAAGTGATGGTGTATCCTTCCACCTGCCCATACAGACACACACTGTGTTCATGGCAGGCTGGGGTTCAGAGAAGATATCTATCTATCTATCTATTCATCCATCCATCCATTGGCCTATCTCTATCTATAATCTATACCCATCTCCATTTCTTAGCTTTTAAAAAAATGTTGTTTATTTACCAATTAATCAAAGTCCCCTGCCCCTTCACCACAATTATGAAAGAAGGAGTAGATGTCAGTTCACTTCATGGTTTTCAACTCAGATTGCATCCATGTTCAGGTTCCAAACCTGCTGCTGTGAGATCATATGCTGATTATTTAATCCCCCTAAGCCTCAGTTTTCTCAACTGCAGAATGGGAACAAATCAATACTTCCCTCACACAAGTGCTTAGGAAAATGCTTGACACATGATAAGCACTCCATATATGTTAGCTACTGTTAGATCACGCTGGAACTTCTGAAAATACCCTATAGGAAGTCATAAAGCTGCTGTGATGGTTAATTTCAGGTGTCAACGTGACTGGGCTAAGGGATGCCTAGGTGGCTGGTGCAGCATGGTTTCCGGGTGTGACTGTGCGGGTGTTTCCAGAGGAGATTGACCTGGGAGTCTGTGGACTGAGAGAAAAAGACTCGTCCTCAACATGGGTGGGCACCGTCCAATTGGCTGGGGGCCCTGCTGGGACAAACAGGCAGTAGGGGGATTGGCTCCCTCTGCTCTCTCTCCTTTCTGGAGCGGGACAGTGTCTTCTTCTGCCTTTGGACAGCAGGCTCCAGGTTCTTGAGCTTTCAGACTCTGGACTTGCCCGGCAGCCGTCCAGGGGCTCTGGGGCTGCACCGCTGGCTTCCCTGCAGCGCTGCATTGCCACATGGAAGGGCTGCATGGGATTAGGCCTGAGCAGGCCCTGAAGGCACAAGTTACGTGAAGAAGTGGCCCAAATCCTCGCCCCCACCCCTGCTCCCCTGCCTTCTGTCCGTCTCCCCTGCTGCACCTGTGGCCAATGGGGAGCACAGGAGCACTTTGTTTGGAAGGAGAAGTGGGCAGACATGTGACTATGCACCAATTAATTCATGGCTGTAGCCAGTGGTTGCCCTGGATGGGCAGACTTGGAAGGAACATGCTTGGCAAGTCGATGAGAAAGAAATCTGGCTGGAGTGACTGATCTGGAAGGCCAAGGGGATGCTGGGCTACGACTCCGCAGTGGTGGCAGGAGAGAGTAAGTCTGCAGTACGGGAGATCCCGTAGGGTGTCTCTTAGTATCACCAGGCCCTGTGATTAAGCTCAACGGGAAACTATAGCAACGCAATCCAGGCAGGACCACAGGTGGCCCAGACCCTCCAGGAATGAAGGCTCGTGTCACCCCACCAGGTAAAGAACCACAGCCAGCGGAGGTGCTCACGGACGACGATGGGAATATAGAACGGGTAATAAAAGCTGTCAGCTTGCCTGGGTCTGAGGCTTTGGACTCGGACCGAGCCACGCGCCCGGCTGCGCTAGCTCCCCGGCGTGCAGTCGATCTGTCCCGGGGCACCTCCCCCTCTGTGATTGTGGGAGTCAACTGCCCCTAGTAAACGCCCTTCCGAGTTTCCCACTGGGCTGTCTCTCTGGAGAACCTCCACTAATCGAGTTGGGTGGTACAATAAAATCACGACCCGGGGGATGACCGCTGCCAACCTTTAGGGCATTGCCTTCCAGGTGTAATTTTTTTCTAGGTGTAATTTTTTAGTTTTTCCCTACTAATCATTCTGGTATTTTTTACCATGAAAAAGAGCAGGTGTCTCCATGGTGGTGGCAGACAGGCCACGCAGAGAGAAAGGAGCGCTTCTCGCTTGCTGTAGGTCCCGGTTTCCAGAGTGAGTTATCAGTGAGTGCCCCAGATAGCTGTTCCTGGCACCCCGGGCCCTGCTCTGAGCAGGCTGGGCGGGGGCTCAGCTCCTTCAAGCGCAGGGAGGGCGGCATCCCCAGGTGCTCTGGAGCCGGCCTTGAGCTCGGAGGTGCTGCCGAGGGGGAAGCGAGTGACGCTCTTTTCACCCAAGAGATGGGAGGACTCAAGGGTGGTTCTAGTAAAATAGAAGTAGCTTTAAAACTCCCCACCCCCAGACCATCTTTTTCTTTGAGCGGGAGCCCTGACACCCCAAAGAGAGCGTTTAAGTGGCCTGTATGTGTCTCCTTTCCCACCTCCTACCCGAGGAGGAGGAAGATGCTAATTAAAACGAGTGGGCAGCCCGCCACAGGGCACCTTGGGCCCAGGTTTCTATAGAAACTCAGTCCTCCCTTCACCTCTCCGCACATCCCTCCCGTCTCCAGACAAACTGTTCCCGGAGGCGTCCTCGGCTCCAATGTGTCCTGCCGCTGCTGCCTCGGGCCAACCAGCAGACACCCCGTGGGAAACGCCACGGTGTGCCGGGCGCCAGGCGTGAGCCCAGCTAACCGACCCTCTGGGGCAGGAATGTCACCCCATTTTCAGGGACGGAGCCGGGCAGAGCGTTCAGGAGCGCTGGCTTAGCTTGCCGGGGCTGCCCGAACAGAGCGCCGCGCGCTGAGCGGCGTAAACAGCAGAAATCGTCAACTCACGGTCGGTCGCGGAGGCTGGAGGTGTCCAGGCAGGCGTTGGCTGGGGTGGCTCCTTCTGAGGGCGGTGAGGGAAGAAGGGTCGATCAGCAGCAGGCCTCTCTCCTCGGCCTGTGGACGGCCGTCTTCTCCCTGGGTCTCAAGTCTTCTTCCTGCTACGTCTGTCTGTCGATCTGTGTCCAAATTCCCCCCTTTTAGGACTCTAGTCATATTGCATTAGGGCCCACCCTGATGGCCTCGCTTCGACTAGATTACCTTTGGAAGGACCCACCTCCAAATAAGGTCACATTCTGAGGTCTTGGAGGTTAGGAACCCAGCAAATCTTTTTTTTTTTTTTTTGGTGGTGGGCACAATTCAACCCACAGCAGGCTCTAGTCAGCCAGGCCTGGGCTGGCCTTTTGGCTCTATTGCTCACTCGCCACCTCACCTCATTAAAGCCTGGCTTCCCCATTTGTAGCAGGGTTATGACAGTGTCTGCCCTGCGTCCCTGTAGGCTGCTGTGTAAGGCTTAAATACGACGCATGGTGCTCCCACGGTGCTCAGCCAGCCCTCCTGTCATTACTAACGAGGGTAGCAGGTGCTGGGGACGCCCCTCTTCCTTCCGTCCCTCTGTCCACCTGAGCCCCTGTGGCTGCAGAGAGCCGGGCCGAGCACGTGCACTGCTGACCTCACTCACCAAGTGCACGCGCCTCTCTCTCTCTCTCTCTCTCCCTGCCCAGGGATTTCTCTGGCGCTGTCGGGGCTTGCTCAGCCTACACGACTTTCCCAAACTGCCAAACATTTAATGCTTCCGGGGGCAACCCTCAAGCCACGGGGGACAAGGGTCAGTAGTTAAGTATTCCAGCTTCCGTATGATGATGAGTCTCACGTGTGTTCTCAAGTGCGGGCAGGGTTGAGCCCACAGTAGTAATCAGTGCAGCCTTTTTCTGCTTCTCTCCTTTCCCTGACTTAGTCTTCCACTTCTGCTTCCTGGGGTCATCTCCCAAGTAAGCTACCTGCACCCTAGTCCTTGCCCGAGGTGTGCTCCTGAGGTGCCCTAGCTAAGACAATGAGGAGACGGAGGCTCAGAGGGGTCATGTGGCTTGTGCACCTGTACACAGTTAAGCAGCAGAGGGTCCCAGGATTTGAACTGATTACCCTGTCTCTACCCTGCGTGCCTGTCATGCACCTGTCTGCCCTCATTTTGTTTGTTCTCTTATGCTCGTATCCTCCTCTGTGCAATGACAGCAAGGAAGCCACTCTATAAAGGAAAATACCTCTTGCTTCTTTTCTCTCCTGAGAACTTAACCTAACCCAGCCTTCCTGCTTCTCCCCGTTGATGCCCACGACACCTCCACTCCAGGGTGGGAGACACACACCAGAAGGACCCTTGAGGCTCCTCCCTGCAATACCCAGTGTAGCCAGGAGGGGCGAAGCCACCCTGGCCCACCCCTTGAGACAGTTACCTGCCTCAAGCCCTGAGCAAGGCACGGCCAATGAAAAGCTAAAGGAGCTGTGAATCTTGCCCCAAACAAGTGGATGGTTTTATCGAGAAGAGCAAAACTGGAACAACTGTTGTTAGCACATTGCTCGAGTCAGGCAAACATGGTGCGAATACTTGACATTCTTGATCCCCCCAATCTTGTAAGCATAATCAATATGACTGCGTTGAGCCACTGGCATGGCTGTTACGCAGCAGCAGCGGCCGGAACACCCACCCGTCCTCTATGTCCCAGGTTCAGAAAGAAAAAGGTGAGTCGAATGCGTGGCACAAATAAATAGTCTTTAATTTCAATAAATAGCTCCCCATCACACCAGACAATATGCTGTGGAAAGAGATACAGAAGCATCCAACAGAGAGAGAGAGAGAGAGAGAGAGAGAGAGAGAGAGGGAGAGAGAGAGAGAGATCTATTCTAGCTACACTAATTCCTTAGCACGTGAGACATGACTTTGGTTCACACACAAACACAGAAAGATCCTCGGAGAACGACTAAGGAGGGAGACCGTTGTGCGTGGGGTGTGGTGGCCATTTTAATCCACGAATCAGGTCCTCTGAAGGTCTTTCGTGGGTCACAATCACCCTGATGCGGTCAAAAATGTCACTTTTATTCTATCGTATCCTATTTACTCGAGACACACACACGTTACTGTTACCCACGGTGGGGGCTTTGACAGACAGGGGGAGGACAGGGGGTGACATCTCACCAGATGGGAGGGGCAGAGAGAAGGGGGTGCTCAGGGTCGAGGTCCCGGCCCGTCACCTTGCTCTCGGAGAGGACACACGGGCACACGCGTGTGTTCCTCCATGAGGGCACACGCACGAGAACACACACACACACGCACACGCACACGCACCCACAGGGAGGCCCCTGGAAGGAGCGAACACAAGGACAGTTCAGTGACGCCAGGAGAGGCTTCGGACGCTGGCGTGCTTTGTGTTGCCGTTTGGTTTCTCCACACAGTCTAGCCTAGTCACCACATTTACTAAGGAGACAAAGATACTTACACCTTTGGAGAAAGGTAGCAGGTTTGGAGAACCCCAGGGAACAGCAGCCTGTTCGGAAGTCACCCAGGGGCGTGTGTTTTGGGGGCGGGGGTGTCGGGTCTCCCACACACCGGCCGAACTCTCGGTGTTTAGTCTCCACGCAGGCTGGCGCCCGTTGGGAGGGCCCTTCCCCGGCCTGAGGGGTGAAAGTGCATTTTGGGGCAGGGGTATCAACAAGAGCGGGCGCCGCCAGTCAGTCCCACGGCAGCGCCTACTCAGCTCGAGATCTACGCGTGGGGCTTCCGGAAAGTTCTCAGGCCTCACTCACTGAGGGCGGCCATTTTGTGATCAATAGTCAGCTTCCTCTCGGTGCTGAGAGGATTTAGGGTGTCGTGTGTGAGTGCGAGTGCGAGTGTGTGTGTGTGTGCGCGCGTGCGTTTGTGGGTGTGGATGTAATAGTATGTGACACTTTTTTCTGTCTTTTTTTTTTTTTTTTTTTTTTTTTTTTTTTTTTTTTTTTTTTTACAGACGGAAGCTGCCTTCCCAGCAGCCTTCAGGTGACCTCCAGGGAGGCGGGAGACACGCGGTCGCACTCGGCGCGGGACCTCAGGCTGTGCCACTGCTCCACGGCCGTGCGGTGGGTGTTGAGCATGCGCCGCCAGTGGTTGGCTTCGGAGGGGCCGGAGGAGTACTGGCCGATGACGATCCTCCCGATGAAGTCGTTGCTGCTCTTCACGTTGTGGCCGAACACTAGGCAGCCATGGGGGCGAGGGCAGGGACAGGAGGCAGGAGCAAGGCAGTGGGGACAAGACGACAAGACAGAGGCCGTTAGTCACACCATCCCCAACTGCAGGCGCAGGGTCATCGCTCGGGGCACGTTGCTTTTTTCGTGGCGTGGTGAGGAATCCCAACTCCCTCATCTCGTCCTCCCCTGGGTCTCTGCGACAGCCACACCACGTGTCCTGCTGTCCCTCACCCCAGGCCAGCCGCGACCCTACCCTGCGGCCTTTGTGCTGGCCGTGCCCTCTGCCAGACGGCCGCCCCACCTGCAGCATGCACCTTTACACTTCTGTCCTGCTGCCCTCCACCCGCCTGCAGCGCTCCGTGAACGGCTAGTTCCGGCGGTTCAGCGAGCCGGCAACCGCAGGCCAGCTGCGTGCTTACGCCAGGGTTTCTCAATTGTGACATCATTGACGTTAGGTCAGATAATCCTCCGAGTAGAGAACTGACCTGTGCACCATAGGCTGCTTAGCAGCATCCCTGGGCCCCGCCCCACCCCACCCCCACCCCTGACACTAGATGCCAGCAGCAGTCCCCTCTCCAGCTGTGACAATCCCAAATGCCTCCAGATATGGCCACATGTCCCCTGGGGGTGGGAGGGTAAATGCATCCCACATGGGAACCACTAGGTTAAGCCAGGAGCCCCCGGGGCCAGACATCCTGGGGTGAATCCTGGCTCCCTGTCACTTGGCAAAGCTCTAGAGTCAAACGAGGTAGCCTCTCTGAGTCTGTTTCCTCATTAGTTAAATAGGAATCTTAGCAGCGCTTTATCTCGCAGGTCAATGTGCAGTTTCTATGACACGACGTGTGTAAGGCTCTCGGCACAGCGCCTGGCATGTGGTGAGAGCTCAATAAATGTTATATTGCTATTTCAATCCTGTATGTCTGTCTGCTGACCTTTCCTAGAGGAGACTTCAGGTTTGTTTTCTCTGTTCCATGCAGTGTGGTGGAAGTTTGCTGAGAGAAATGGCCATGGTAATTTCTCCCCCCCCTGCTATGCTGCATGTCTCTTTGGAAGGCTTCTCTGTTAATCCCAACTTAAGCTTAATGTATGTCTTTCAAGCCTAATGAGATGGTTAACTTGATTTATCTTCCTGGCCAAGTTGCGCCTAATGCTTTATCTGCGTGTGGGTAGCAGCGCAGGCGTGCCATCTCGCTAATGGGAAAGCGGGCCGTGTCTCCGTTATAAATAAAGGGCTAGGGAACAAGAAACATCGCAGATTCACCCAGCGTGAGCCGAGCAAAGGCGGGCTGGATCCCAGGAGGGACACTGATTATCAAATAAACCCACTAAAATATGCAGCCCAAAACAGAGCTTGAATGCTAATGAGCCTCTCTTCTCCTCTGTGGGGTTCACATCAAGAATTCCAAATGATGAAAATGGGGGGAAAAAAGAAAAATAGGAAAAACAAAAACTCCATCCATCATCTAAAAGCCAAAAAGACTCAGGGAAAACTATGGTAAGTGAAATACTACGTCATCTCTATTGAGAGGGACTAGTACCTGTTACCTCTGTGGAGAAAAATTGGACCATGTATAATTTTTGTACACTTGGTAATGTGCTCAGTATGCATAGGTGGACCTCATTTACATGCAAACCCCTTACAAAAAAGGGGAAATAATAGGAATGGAACTTTTGCTTAATAAAGGAAATTGCTACAGAGCTTTCTGATGCATTAGGAAAAAAGCAGGTTTTTTTTCTTGAATAGGTAACACTCAAGACTTTTGGAATCATACCTAGGGGGCAATTTAAGGTCTGATCTCACTAAGAGATCAAACTAAATGATCTCACTTTGATCTCACTAAGGTTTGATTCTCTAAGAGAATAAGTTCCCCATGTCCCCTTCCCTGTGTGCCTTGAATCTAAAACAAGATACTATTAAGCCACCTGAAGCCCCATTTGCTCTTCTATGAGGGCAAAATGTTCTATCTTCCTCTCCAAAGCTCTCCAAAGCTCAAGAATGACAATGCAGAAACATCCCTCTGTAAATGGGCACAGGTTTTACATATTTGGGAAAGGGGTTTAAGAAAGGGAGTCTCAAACACTCTCATGCATTGCTGGTAGAAGACCAAGTCGGTTCAACTTTGGGGGTTGTTCACGGTATCTGTTCAAAATAAAGGTGTTGTAACTTACACCTCAGCAATTCCACTTCTAGGAATTGATGGAATTGTCTGCACAAATGGACAAGGGATTGTCTGCACAAATGGACAAAGATACACATACAAGGATATTTTCTATAGTGAGGGTCAGCAAACGAGAGCCCCCAACTCAACTCTGGACAGCTCATGGTTTTTTAAAATACAGTTTTATTGGAACACAGTCAAACTCATTTGTTTACATAATGCTGCTTTTGTGCTAAAAGGGCAGAGTTGATGTCTTAGTCCATTGGGGCTGCTATACCAAAATGCCATAAACTGGGTAGCTTATAAATAAAAGAAATTTATTTCTCACAGTTCTGGAGGCTGGGAAGTCCAAGATCAAGGTATTGGCAAATTCGCGGTCTGGTGAGAGCCTGTCTCCTCACAGCTGGTGTCCACACAGTGGAAGGGAGAAGCTGGTTCTCTGGGGTCTCTTTTATAAGGGCACTAATCTCAATCATAAGGGCTCCACCCTCATGACCTAATGACCTCCCAAAGGCCCCACCTCCTAATACCATCACCTTGGAGGTTAGGATTTCAATATATACATTTTTTGAGGAGACACAAACATTCAGACCATAGCAGTTGAATAATTCAGAAAGAGGCCATGTGCCCCTCAAAGCCTCAGATATTTACTATCTGTCTGGTTCATCCATGTTGTAATGTTCTATGCATCAATTGATGGACATTTGGGTTGTTTCCACCTTTTGACTCTTATTATGAATGATGTTACTATAAACATTTATGTACAAGTTTTTAAGGCCATATATTGTCATTCCACTTACATGAAATGTTCAGAATAGGCAAATCATTAAAGACAAAAAGTATATTAATGGTTACCAAGGACTGGGGATAATGGGGAATGGGGAGTGGTTGCTAACTGGCACAGAGCTCCTTTTGGGGCTGATAAAAATGTTCCAGAATTAGATAATGATGATGGCTGTATAACCTTGCAAATATACTAAAAAGCACTGAATTGTATACCTTAAAAGGGTGAATTTTATTGTTATGTAAATTTTTAAAACACAATCTTTTAGAGGAAGGGTCTTGCTCTGTTGCCTAGGCTGAAGTGCAGTGGCATGATCATAGCTCACTGCAGCCTCGAACTTCTGAGCTCAAGTGATCCTCCCGCCTCAGCCTCCTGAGTAGCTGGGACTACAGATGTGCACCACCATGCCCGGCTAGTTTTTAAAGTTTTTGTAGAGACAGGGTCTCATTACGTTGCCCAGGGTGGTCTTGAACTCTTGTCCTTAAGCAATCCTCCTGTTTGGCCTGTTATGTGAATTTTATTTCAATAAAAAAATGCCAGGGCCGGGTGCAGTGGCTCATACCTGTAATCCCAGCATATTGGGAGGCCAAGGCAGGAGGATTGCTTGAGGCCAGGAGTTTGAGGCTGCAGTGAGCTCTGATCAGGCCACTGCTCTGCACTCCAGCTTGGGTGACAGAATGAGACCCTGTCTCTAAAAAGTCAAAAACAAAACCCAAACTTGGAAATGACAAAAATATCCAAATGTCCATGAGGAAGTGTAGCTGAGGCTGTCGGTGCCCTGCCTACCCCCTCAGCCCACCTTGGAGGCTGCTCACGGCATCTGCGGATAGTGTCCCACCTAAAGCACTGCGGCTTTCTGCCTGAGCCACGCCAAACTGTCTGTGCTCACTGTGATTTATTTGTGCCCCCCGGGCCTGGGGCCACTCCACATCGCCTGGAGACCAGGGTTAGCCTCTTACATGGTCAGTCACACCTGTGTGACCAACCCCCATCAGATATCCCAGACACCAAGGCTCGGGTTGGTGGCACTCTGGGCGTGTTGTCACACGTCACTGCTGGGAGAATTAAGCGCCGTCCATACGGCTCCAGTGGGGAGGGCAGCTGGAGGTTTGCACCTGGTCTCTCTTGGACTCTGCCCCATATGCTTGTCTTAGTCCATCTAGGCTGCTATAACAAATCACCATAACCTGGGTGGCTTATCATCAACAGGAATTTATTTCTTACAGTTCTAAAAGCTAGAAAATCCAAGCTCCAGATGCCAGCAGATCCTGTGTCTGGCGCGGGCTCGCTCTCCGCTGCAGAGAGGGTGTGTTCTCGCCGGGTCCTCACGAGGTAGAAGGGGCGATTCAGTTCCCGGGGCCTCTTTGGTAAGGGCACGGCCCCCACTCGTGAAGGAATCTCGTCCCCGAGGCCCCACCTCTTGACACTGCCACAGCGGGGAGGAGGACTCCGAACACGGACCCCGGTGGGAACACACACATCCAAACCCCAGCAGCATCTTCCCCTTGCTCGCTTTGGTCCATATCCTTCTACTGTCACAGACTGTAGCCGTGAGAAGAACGGCTCTTCCGAGTCCTGCGAGCCCTAGTGAATCACTGAACTTGTGCATGGTTTTGAGGACCCCTAAACTGCAGACGCCCACTTCCTCCATCATCCTTAACTGGTTTGCCCCCTTTCCTGCCTCATTTCTCAGTGCCTCCTTGTGCTCAAGCCATTATCTTAAGACTTTGAACGGACCGGTTCGACAATTTCTGATGCAATAACACCATGGAAATCCGTGTCGCTGCTAAGCCTTAGACAGATCTATCTATACACACACGAAATGGAAAAACCTCCAAGACATAATGCTAGGAGACAAAAGCACATTACCAAACCGCATATGTAAACACGACCTCGCTTCGTTAAAAAGAATGTTAATATACGTAAAGAAAACACTAACCAGAGGAACGGACACCACACTGGTGAAAGTAGCTGTCTCCAGGGCGGGGAAACAGAAGGGAAGTTTCCACTTTCTGTATTATATAAGCATGTGCAGTTTTGAACTTCTTACAAAAAGTACACA